AAGCTATGGCAGAGTTATGTTATGGGTACTAGACAACTGATATAAATATCTACATTTTTTTTAGTTAATACATACATAATAGATAAAGAAAACACTGTGGCCAACATAAACAATCACACTCATGAATACAAATGTTTGTACCGTGCGAGGAATCGAACTCGCGACTATCGAAAGTAAAGAGTATACAAAATATAGCAATAACTCTCCAGGCCGTCAGTTTGTAATCTAATATGAAGGCTGATTTGGCCATTGGAAGTGATACCGATAGATACGATTATAATCTAAATATATTTTGAAATAGAAGATGATGAAGATGAAATATTAAATAAAAACCGAATTATGAAGTTTATAAGCTAAACATCAGGTATCTACATTCCTACCTAGCTGGTATCTTTTTTCTAGAACAAAAATATGCTCTAGTGTGAAAAACAAACCAATAAATGAGTTTTGGAGCGGAAGCGTGATTTGCAACTATAAGTTATCCTAAGGATGAGCTCAAAATATTTGAACTCTGAAACTAAATCCCAAATATTTTTTTTCCCAACATCCCACTGGATGTTACTACATTATTTAGCAATAAAGATACATTACGAGGCCATAGAGACGAGATATTGAATGAAAACATGCTCCAAAGTGAAGAACAAAGCAATAAATAAGTTTGGGACGGAAGCTTGCCTTTATTATAATAATTTATATGAAACATCTGTCGGTTTCCTTTGCTCGTCGATCACGCGCAAACTACTGATCCCATAAACATGATATAAAGGGGGTTTACAGCTCTTATAAGCAAAATATTAGATACTTCACTGTAATATTAAATCAAGTGGAAGACACGTATACAGAAAGTTTTATTTCTCAATGAAATAAATTCTACAATTATGACAACAAAATTAAATTGTAATAACTTATGTAAACAACATAAATTATATTGGCATACTTCATAAAATATCTTATGAATATTTTAACTACATTACAATGCTACCTTTTGGAAAGGAACTTAAACAAAAAAAGGTATCTAACGTTTGGAACGGATTATTTCCGCAAAAATGCCATCTAAACCGTAGCTACCATATAAATCTGCAAGTCATAAGTTTTCAGTTCGTGCACGTATCGACACCCACACTTAGCATGGTGGCATCCCTGGCAGGGCGCCATGTAAACACACCACCAAATAGGGCAACGACCACGTAGCGAACGCAAATAGAACATTAGACAATATTCTATTAATATAGAACTTAAAAATAACCTGATCGAGGGGAGACTGCACGTGTCACTCGGAGATTAATTGCCGTGCTGTAGAACGTGTAGGGAATATTTTTTGTAAATATATCACATTACATTTTTAAACGTGTCTTATATATATAAGTATAGTAATGCAATGTAATTTGTTTGAAAAAGTGATAATATATATGTGGAAATTTAGACAAAAATATTCATTTATATATTACTGCAGCTAACTATATAACTATTTTTTTTAGTAAATGTTACTTTATATTTTGCAAAAGGTAGAATTCATTTCCTCGTCCGTCTTAAATACATTTTGTTATGATCGATAGTCGTTTCTTTAGAACAAAATATACTTGTAAACGCCAACTGACCACTCATCTATACTGAACGGTCTGATGATATCTGGGTTTATTGCAACGAACAGATGTTATTGTTAAAGGCAGATGTTTAAAAGCATATATGAAGTGCATGAGAATAGAATAGAACCTGAAAAAACATACAACAAACATATAATGACGTAAGTTGAAATTTCAACATGTCGAAATTTGATTTTTTTTTTTCTGTTATTTAGTGTACATGGAAGACATAATTAAAATTATCGATTATGACATCTTCACTTGAATTTTAGGTAGTGAAATAGGCAAATTGGAAATACCCCAGACTCCGTAATACAGCTGCGTGTTCTAGGCGTCATTTGCCTCGTGTAAAGAAAGTGTGACGCAGTATCGCAACCCACTAAGAACATTTGCACGTGACTAAAAGGTCGGGACAACCTAGGAAAGTAAACATGATGGCGTCGTTTGAAAAATAGTACAGACGTCATCTTGGCCGTTCCTTTGAGTTATGCGGTTCCTTTGTTACATCGATGTTATTTTTATATAAAAATAGAATTTGTAACATTTCTATATTTATTTTCCTTTTATATTATATTATATGTGTTATGCTTGTTTTCTTTAAGACAAAATAAACGTTTATTAATATATTAAATTTTTTAACAAATATCCATCTTTTAAAATTAATTGCTTAGTTTTGCCACGAGTTCGGATTATAAAGTCAAATTTTAAGAGAATGCAGTATAAAAAATATTTTACAGATATGCATGTGAGGTTCAATAACCATGATGCAACAGTGGATGGTCTAGGCATACGAATGAATTCTTCCCTACCGTTGCCTGTTTTTGTATAGTGCAAATGTACTAATCAATGGCTAAATTGGGCAACTGCATTCGCGGGTAAATTTCCACATTGTTCATGCATTGTTTACTATACATACACACTTATGTATTTATACATTCTAGCTTTGTTTTGTTGTGTTCGTTCTTTAATTCTATGTTCACTTACTTTGTAGATATTATGATTATTAAAATGTCATTATTATTTAAGTAATGAAATTATATTATAAGTGTAGTATCATTTGTTTCATAAAATAGCTATTCTTTTTTGCAGTGAACAAACTAAATCACTAAGTTCTAAAAAATGCCTTGTTTTCTGTCGTAGTGGAAAAAATAATTGCCTATTTCTTTCTATATTAGCAAATAGCAATGTAATCGATGTCTACTTCCCTATCGTACAGTAGAAAGAAAGAAAATACGGACACAGTCTGGAGATACCGAGAAAAAGATTTTGAAAATTATTATGTCAACACAGCCTTGAGTCATTTATAATTTATTTGTTTTGAAATTGTATTGGTAGTTGGGTCAGTAAAGTTTCTTTTTTTAATATGATGGACGAACAGTTGCGGTAGCTTTGACACACATATGTATTGTAACCAATACGCATTTGCAGGATATTACGCGCGACATGTTGCTAATGTTATTTGATACGACTTGTACTGTATGTTCGTACATTTGTTTTTTATATGTACAGATATAATGTATAAAGCTTAACTACTTGCAGTTCAAAAAACCTGTGCCGTATTTTTCATTTGATGAGGACTCTTGCAGTTTCTTTATATCATTTTTTATGAGTTGACCTATAATTCACTAAGTCACCTATAGTTACTCTACATTTTTTAAGGAACTAAGCTGCATATACTTTGCTGTAGTATTCAAAATCTAAGGCTACTATTTAAATTATTTCATATGTTTAAATAATCATCATTATAATCAGGTATAAGCTCATTTAAAAAGAATAAGAATTGAGTTTCTTGTCAGCTTCTTCTTAGCTCGAAAGCACTTCGAACTAACGCTAGATGTGACATATGTTCAGAGTCTAGACCTACATGAATAAATTTATTTTGATTTTAACAGAGACTAAATATATTTAATCAAATTAGTCTCCGACGTACTCCAGAGGCTTTTGAGTGTGAATAGAATTTAGACGTCTAATATAATCTAGCATCAAAATCATATCAGGGCACTGAATTAACACGGTCACTATTCCATTGAGAAACATATTCGTTCATAGAACAGTTTTTTATTTACGATGCAATAAATTTGCTCCCACGCGGTCGATCCGCCTCCTAGCAACAACTCGCCCACATCCATCGGAAAAGGTCGCAACAGGCAAAACAGAGGTATACATACCGCCCTCGTAGCCTTATATGAAAACATAATGTACTACACACGGCCAGACATGAAACATTTTTTGATTGGATGATAATGGAATGGTGCTTTCGCCTACATTAACGGTTTAAGGTGGTGGAGTATCAGTGGAAGGTGAGCATGAGGTCAGGTCAGTTAATTTCACCAGAAATTTATTCCGATGGTTTCTGATCTGAAAACCTGACACAGTACATTGGTAGCAATGGGAGCATTAGTCCACATGACTAAGAATCCTTCCCTCCCCCTCAACATGACACATTAAAAATGTTTGGGACTGGAAAAATGCACAATGAGTAATGTCCGCTGGGGACACGTAAACAATAATTACAAAAGTCCGACGGATTAATCGCTCCGAACGAGAATCAACAATGGCGGTCGATTGTCGAATAAAGTAAATTATTAACAACCCACCCTACCGGTTCCTTTTGAATAAATTGAACAATCATAGAACACGTTATTAATCGGATATTCGAGTACAGGCCGGTGCCTTAGTATTGTTATTCTTATTTCTGGAAGGTCATAGTGTTGACATTTCGTAGGTAGTTGATTAATTAGTAAAGAAATATGAAATATTGGCCATGAAATTCCGAAATACTATACCAGTGAGTCCGATTTAAACTAACTGCTTCGTTTATATGTTCTAATTTCTATTCCATGAATTCCAGGTAGCTATGGATGTGGGAAATAAGTTAAAGAAATAAACAAAGCGTAAAGTGCATAAATATAAAACGTACAACGCAGTCAAATTCGTGATAATACCAATGTGGTACTACAACGTACGTGACATAGTCATCTAAGTCGACACATGTGACGACACAAGCTACGTCTATATGTACACACTTAGAATAAATTGGCGGTCAGTATTAGTTTATACCTCAATAATAACTGTTTCAATTTAAACTAGAAGCGTTCCTGTATTGAGAAAATGTTCTAAAGTGGTAAGGAATTCATGACGCATAGATTTGAAGTTTATTTTGTACTACTAAAGCAAACGTAATATATAGTAGTCTAACAACTTTAGTTTACTCTCATTGTAGATTTTTTTATAAAATTATCTGAATCTATTTATAACGTCTGTAAAAATAATGTTATTAAAATAATTATAACTTCCATTTTCCAATATAAACAAATCTTATTAAATACCCTTATTATTAAATATTGTAATAAATATATTTAGGTAAACAAAAATATTTAAGTCGTAAAAATAGGGATTTCAAATAGTATCACTTACCTCGTTTATGTGTTTGTAGGTTTTGATGAGATCTACGCTGAGTTTCCTAAGAGGTGCCGTTGAAGGGTCTCGAAAGTGGTGTGGTATTCGGGCTTGCATAGCCTGGACAAGCGAGAAACAAAATTAATACTATATACTGTTAGTAATTACATATAATATGAATCATAAGCAAAATTGTGCTAAGCAAAAAGCTGGGTTTTAAAAGCAGATCTCTAAATATTACGCACTCAGCACCATTACTAATAGGTTGTAAGAGAATTCAAGACCAATATCTTGTATTGGGTTACTTTTGTAATGGATCAAAATTGTAAGCGTCATGAAGTAACAAGACATCAAACACGAAAACAAAGCCCGCACTTCACTAATTAAAAACAAAACAAATTGTAAATGATCTATATTAGTTAACGGATACAGTACAATGATCTAAATTGTAAAAATAACACAAAAACAAAACATCGGACTGTTCAGAAAATAGACCTAGAAATAAAAATATATGTATATTTACAAGACTACCATATAACTAGAGAAATACGTCAGTGTCACAAAATGCATGCAAAATATCAAACACTTTGCCAGTATACGTTGGTAAATTCGAGGAAACCAGTAATAAACTCAATTAGCGCGACAACAAACTAAGTTGCCAATAAAAAGGAAGCGTGCGAGACTTAACACGAGACAGTTTGTTTGTGTTAACATATTATAGCAATAAACACGAGGAACAATAGCTTCACACCTGTGGGCAATCATCGGCAATAATCGTACATCAGCGTTGCTACAAGTTGTAGCGAAATGTAAATTGTTATCGTATATGTTTGTATTGATATAACTTAGACGGCGCGTGTGTGTGCATAAAAACATACTTCCTTTCTTTTATTTTATACATCCTATTAAATTACGTTCATTATTAAGTTAATATATTAATGAGTGTTTTAAAAATAGTTTCTTTCTAATTCGGCTTTCCGAACTGGTCGCTACAGGCTAAAAATATTCTACACGAATGAATGTCTTATTCTTACTTGACACGTGAAACTCGTTTTTATAGACATGATTTATGATTGTTTCTATAAAATCGACATTTATTAGTAGAGGGTTCGATATCCTCTATCATAAAAGCATTTGTTTACGTGTGAATTTGTTAATATTACATGTGTATTCCAAAAAAAGTATCAATCAGCAACTATTTATTTTGGGACTAGATGGAACGGTGTGATATGTTTGTGACATCATCATCAGTCTGAAATATAAACCGAAAATTAATTCATAATACATTTGCAACTATTTTGTTTCTTGTTTATATAGATAGTCTGTATTTGTATTTATTAATGTGGAATTTTATTTATACATAAAATTCCAGTCATAAGAAATAGTTTCACGTAGTGTACATACAAAGCCTTAAACAAATGTTTGAACATCAATTGTACTTGTAGACTGATTTTACACATTCGTTTCTATGCTACCCAAACCGAAAAACTCCTTAGTTTCGTTCTACTAAAAGAGAGCTCAGTTGTAGAATGAACTTAATTATAGGCACTTTACGGGCTAATTTATTTACTCGCGAGTAATGTCTAGACACGCTTGTTAATGGCGCTCTTAATAAAACAATAGGTGTGGCGCGCTCCGGTTCATAGGTTAAGATAAGTTTTCATATTACATCTAAGTATTTCTTTTATGTTTATATCTTGTGAATATTTAGCAGGACTTAATTATTTTCCGATGTAATCGTGTTAGCGATGCGAGCGTTATTAATAACACAAAGAACTGCAAAAAACGAGTACAATGACAATAAACTCCCGCGCGTAACAACAATGTAGTATATTTCAGCCGCGGCTTTGCTTAATCCAGGAGCATCACTGGCGCATGAACATTGTAACAGTCGTAAACTTTGACGGGGGTTAGCCGGACAAACTGCCTCGTGCATCATTTACCTGAGCAGGGGTACGGTAGCGGCAGAAAGCTCGTTGGTTGCGCGCGATGGCGCTCACCTGAATGTCGGAGGGTGCACTCATCGACGCCAGCTGGTCTTCAGCCACCAGTCTCCCATAGAGCGGGCCGTGCCGCCGCTCGCCGCCGGCGGCTTCCGGTATGCCGCCGCCCACGACACTCACTGCAACAAGGAGCAAATCATGAACACATTAAAAATTAAAACATCACCAACATATATTATGACAAGTGTAAATTTAGGACTATCATCATATAACACAAGAATGGGTGTGTGCCGGCTTTGATATGATGTCGTTTCAGTGGTTAAGATTGCAAAGACAGGTTTACGCTACTTTAAAGATCAGTTTTTTCGCATATTGTTATTACCAAAAACCTTTATAATCGCTCTATTAAACAGTCAATTCTTTTAATCATGACGTCTTCAATAATAAATTATTCACCAGGGCTGTACAACTTAGTGTAAGCGCAAAATGCAAAAGTAGTTATGCTGTTCAACAAAAGTAGACCTACTACATGTTAATCTATGCTATATTATATGTGTACACATTCATTTATACCCGTCCAGCCGTTTAGACGTGGAAACAACATCCACAGATCCTATCATCTTCATTTAAACTTAAACTTTTACATTTTTAATATTATGTACCTATAGTACGTTTGGCATTACAATGTCTGTCAATTATTCACATTCAAAAGTTGTCGGAAACTTATAATTACACTAATGGTTGGGAAGTAAATGGACTTTATGCGAGTGTTATACATCAATCAAGGTGATGTCATTCATAATAGGCCCAAAGTGCCATGGGAACATGCCTTTTTCACCTGTACTCCGCCCACGCGACTTTATATGACATATCTTAAGTAGTAGACAAGACACCATATTTTAGACGAATGAATCATCAAGCAAATGACTCAAGTGAGACATTCGTCCGGCGTCGTATCATCTGTGCTCTTAATATCGTTTAACATTCTATCTTTCTTGCTAATCACGATGTAGACGAAATCATATTAAATCTAATAAAAGTGAGCTACTCTCGGCTGATTTCCTAATAAAGACTTTAAAGTAAACTTGTGCTACAAGTTGCTAGTAAGAATCCCAGTTTGTACCGCAAGCAACGAAGAGCGACTTACTAAGTATCGACACACAAGTTTTCGCATAGCAGCATAGTCCGGAGGCTCTTTCGACATGTCTGGAGCCTTAAGGGTGTTTTCTGGCTTCTCACCTTATACAAGTTAGGTGTTTGGTTCTTGTACACAAAGTTGTGTGATAGTCTATGCATCACAATACTTTTAAATGAGCGTAGTTGGAATATTGAAGTTATGGAGATGATAGTTTGGCAGCGAGCAAATAAATATTATGTAATAGAAAAATATATAAAAAAATAGTTTAAGTTATGCAGCTTATTTACAATTTTTAGTATTATTGGTGTTGTTGTTGATTCGAGATAAACAGAAATAACTAAGAAGCTGATAAGATAGAATTATAGAATGACAATATTAGAACTACTGAGCTATTATAGCATGTGGCCAAGTCGATTAGTAAATAAAGTATTTAATAATTTCATCTGTGTCATATCAAATATCAAAAAGACGCGTCATTCGTATTTTTAGCCATAATCCTACATTATTGTTGGTTAAAAATATCTACAGTGTCAAGTAAAAGCATTTCACTTGTAATCTAAGGTGTGTGAATGTGAACTTTGCCGTTAATAATCCAGAGGTCGCAGACAAGTTAATTCAGTCTTATTTATGTGCCGTCTGGCACGACGTGACATTTCATAATAAAACACCGACATTCACGGCTCACTTCTAGACTGGGACCCGCGGGGACAAGTTTGTTGAACGTCTTCTAACTACATTATGTGGACGAACTCTTTGGCTTTAATTGAGCTAATAATTTATGTAACAGGTGCACATACACACCTAGCTATCGATCAGGAAAGTATTAAGCACATATAATCATTAACTTTGTTATAATTTCCAAGAGGGATATAATTTACGTTATTGACGACATAATAATATATGTCTCACCATTCCTTTACATTCCCATGATGTCGTAAAAGTCTACTAAGGATAACAATACATATAATATGAGTACAAGAAAAATCTACAAATAAAACTCTACACCATGCCGCATAACCAATGTACACTGTCTTGTGGACACCACAGATTTTAATTTTATTGCCTTATCTTATTATCCTTATTTCAGAGATTGATCTATAAGTGAGCATTGTACAAAATGAATCACGTGATCGTGATGTTCAACGATTACTTTTATTTTCTGACTTATAAAAGGGAAAGACTTATTCAAATAAAATACTACCGTTGGAACCTTGACTAATTGTTCAACACACAGCCGAAAATGCTAGGTCTAACTTAACTTATAATTTAGCCTTAAAACTTTTAAATTAATATTTAAAGTCATCATCATCTACTTCTTCCTTATCTTCTTATCATTTATTTAGAGTTGGTGTAATATGTTTTTCTCTTCCATTCATCCCTTATCACAGTCATCTCAATATTTACTCCCTTTCTTACCTTTATAAAATATTCAAAATTGCCACGGGTATATAAAACTCATACGAAATCACATTAAACTTCTAGTACAATTACGAACATTTCCCACAAGCCTCAATTATCTTTTTTATTAGTATTTTTGTTATTATAGTCATTGGACTGAGATAAAACGAATGTATTAATGCCAGTATGTTCCGAAGGTCTTGAATCAACCGCACATGCGCACTGCAGCGATCTTCGCATCTCCGCTATCGTCATACACATTTACAAGGTTCATGCAACTGCGTAGTTTATACTTAAACTGCAACGCAATACTGTACAAAAAACTCATTTACTCATACTTCTAAACATAACAGCCACGAGCCAAAAATACTAAATTAATATGTATACAATTATACTACATTATGCGGAATGTGAATTTTGTGAGTATGCATATGAAAGACGCTCCAACTCAGTCGTTATTTCATAGTTTTTTCCCTTATTAATAAAGAGAGAAACCTTGTACAAACACACATTCGAATAAATACCTTGTGTATTATATAAATAAAAAGCATACAAATAAATTTCAATTATATTATTGCGCTTGTATTACATGCATTGGGAAATTATGAAGAATCGGACTACAGCGCACCAATTTGAATGGGTGCGCAATCAATTTACAGATTCATTCAATTATGGCCTCTAAAACAGATACAAATAAGAACATGTAGAATTGCTACCAGTATAGCTGTGTGTGTACTTGAACACCGATTGAAAATCAGGCCGCATCCGCCTATTAGCATTATAAACGTCTTAAGAGTTCCGTACAGAAATGTTACAGCGGATACGGGTTAACCGCTGTCTGACTATCGGTCTCTTTCGCCCTTTGATCGTCTTAGTATTATTGAAAGTGAATTTTATGATTGTTCCTAGTATAGAGACTGTAGGCGTCGCTTTATCTGACAAAGACAGTAACATCAAACAACCTGGCAACATAAATACTAATAACTTTTATTTCAATAGGACCTTTCCTTGTAATGCCTCCCACACACTATCTACTCGACATATATAAATCGACAATCGTCTTATCTCGAATATAATCTGATCTGTTGTAAACATAAGCGATGTGCAAATATAGACACACATGATTTTCACACGATAATTTTGTGTTTCTGACACTAAGAAAAGAGCGGAATCATAATACCACCGTGGAGTACTATACATGAGAGAAATGACTTATACGCCATAAAGTATTGCCAGAAGGCGGACAAGTTTAGCCTTCAAATTTTTATACAATTCCCCCAAAATCAGATATTGAAGGAAAATCGCCCAATAAAGAAGTCCTCCATAGAACATGACCATTTTTTAATATAGTATGACTTTCTATTAGGCAATGTATTCTACAACCATATTTAGGATGCTTGTTCCATCTTTCTTCTTTATCTCCCACAGACATGTGTTTTTTATTTTCCTGAACCTCTATTAACTTGCCAAAAAGAAGCTTCAATTAATTTCTTACATCGCCACTAAATCACCCCAAATTTGGGGTGAAACTCCCGATCTGGCATCACTGACACCATGGTAACCATGTGCGACACGCTGCTACGTCACCAGTGCAAGCCGTTTGAAACCGGCCGCGCGGGCCGACAACCTGTATTTGCTATGCCAGGAATGCGATTAGCTGCCGGTGGATTGGCGTGGGAGGTGCAAGATACGCGTCCGCTGTTTATGTACTGCATTGCAATTTTAGGGTTAACTAACATTCGTGGAATCCCTTGAAGTACCCAGATCATGCGGTTAAACTAAATATCTTATTGTAAACATGTGTTAATAATTCTATTCTTAGTATGTATTGTATATGTGTTTACTGACAACCAGAAAAATTAAATAAGTAAATGTGGAATACACATCCGATTCATAATTCAAGATTTTATAAAACACAAATAAAAATTAGAATTTATAACATAATTAGATTAGTATCATCAATGCAGAATTATTGAACTCCTACCGCTTACAATAATATATCAAAATCTCTTTAAGATTATCTGTAGGTATATTATAGAATACAGTAGAATTTAAAACTTTTTAAATAGATTAAAAATTATGACTTGATAGTTTATCATAAGTATATTCAATGTGAAGATAACGGTTTCGAATTCCACTACATCACGAGAATTGCGAGATTTTTTTAAAATACTTGACTCGAGAGCCAGGCAAAATGGAAAATGCTTTAAAATATATATATTAAAAAATAGCATGGCAGACATTTACAGACTCGGATCCGGTTTATGTTGGTGGTATTTGCCCTTTTATGGTATTATCAAGTGTTGGATTCGAGTGGATTTGCAGTTTATTTACATTTTTACTTAAACTTTAATTCTAAATAATATGACAAACCGTTAGGCATTTGAAACAGCAACATAGAAAAAATAAATATTCTAACTCTATAATACTAACTCTAAAACAGTTAAGTATTTATTACTTTGTACATAATAGAGATACAATAAACAACATATTTAAATTTCTATATTTTATGTTACATTCTTTAATAGAATTATTTTAAATTGCCCGCATGCAGTAATGAAGTTTATTCCCTTTTCAAGAAGATTGCAACGTGTAAATATTACTAGAATTATCTGTGTAGCTAGATAATATGTCATAAAATAT